CTATTCTCTTCATGACCTCCTCCAAGTCACCCTAGCACTAACGACCAACTCGCCGCTTCACTTCCGGGTTCCATTCGAGCAGTGGCTTGTCTAGTGATGTTACTTGATGGTCTGTTTTCTCGGAATATGGCCAATCCATCTCCATTTCTTGCTGCATATTTGTTTCACAATCGGTTCTTGGTTGGTTCGCTCATTGCCAGAGATCCCTGTTGATGATCTTTTCTGGCCGGCTATCTGATCTTGAGTAGTATTGAGCGAAAACAGCTGTTAATGAAGGTCTGTAGTTTGTTTGAGATGCTCTTTATGACGCGCTGGTCAAGTCTCTGATCCATCCGTATAGTGAGTAGCACTGACCTCACATTGGAGTTGAAAATCTGGATATTATTTTTTGATGCTGAGTGCTGTTGACCTCCATACAGACTTAAGACTGGTGAAAGCTTGTCTTGCTTTTCCGATTCTGGCTTTGATATCCTCGTCAGTTCCGCTGGCCTGTAGTTGAAACGATGCTTCCCAAGTAGGTGGGTGAAGGAGGTTGTTTCTTTCAGGTTCTTCCCATTTATGCTGACTGTTGTCTGTTGTTGTTGCTGCTGTTGATGTTGGCCAGGAATCTTCATCACCTCTGTTTTATCTATGTTCACCTGAAGTCCTATCTTCTCTGGATGCTTCTTCTGCCAACTTGTTGCTTTTCACTTGCATATCTTCCAGTTTGTGGGAAATCAGACATATATCATCGGCGAAGTCCAGATCCTCCAAGTCTTTTGTGTCAGTCCATTTTATGCCTGTTTCCTCGTTGCCCGTATGTCTGTCGCATTATCCAATCTACTGCAATCAGGAAGATCATTGGCGATAGTAGACAGCCTTGCCTCACTCCCGTCCTCACTTCGAAGGCTTCCGTAAGTTTCCCGTTGTGGATTACTTGGCATGCAGCATTGTCGTATAACTGTTGGATGAGATGTATAATTGTCGATGGGACCCCGTAGTAGCGAAGTAGTTCCCAAATGACCTCTCGATCGACGCTGTCGAAGGCCTTTTCAAAGTCGATGAAGTTGAGATAGAGAGGTGACTGCCATTCCAAGCTTTGTTCAATGATGATCCGTAGAGTGGCGATTTGATCAATACATGATTTGTTTCTCCTGAATCCAGCCTGTTCCGGACGAAGTTTTTCATCTAGGGCTTGTTTGATTCTCTCCAGGATGATGCGACTTAGTATTTTGCTTGGAATGGACAGAAGCATAATTCCACGCCAGTTTTTACATTGACTTAAGTCTCCTTTCTTTGGAAGTTTGAATAAGTATCTGTTCTTCCAATCCTCGGGTACTTTGCCCTCTTTCCACACCTTCTCCAGTAGTGGTGTCATCAAGTCCGCTGTTGTCTCTGGGTCTATTTTCAAAGCTTCTGCTGGGATTCCATCTGGTCCTGGTGTTTTCCCAGCTTTAAGCATCTTGATTGCATTCAGGACTTCTGATTTCGTCGGGGGGTCAGTGTTCACTGGTAGTTCTGCTTCCGTTGTTGGTATTGTTGGGCGCGTTGTTGGTGGCGGACGATTTAGAAGTCTTTTGAAGTGTTCAACCCAGTGCTTTCTCTGTTCCACCTCTTTGGTGATTGACTTTCCATTGTCGTCCTTTATTGGCTTAATCTGTGTCGAACGTTTGCCCGAAAGGTGCCTAGTTGTTTGGTAGAGTGTGGCGAGGTCTCCTTTGCCTGCAGCTTGTTCTGCTTCGTTTGCCATGGTTTCATAATATTTTCTTTTGTCTTCCCTGGCACTCTTCTTCACTCTTTTGTTCAGTGTATTGTAGCTTGCATTCAGCTCCTGTTTTTGTTGCTCGTCAGTGCACTGGATAATCTTTTGCTTCACTGTCCTTCTCTCTTCTATTAGTTTCCAAGTGTCCGTAGTGAGCCACTGTTTGTCCTGTCTCTTTTTTCTGCCTAGAATTTCTATGCAGGTTTGGCTCCACACCGTTTTCAAGTTGTTCCAGTGCTTTTCGACGCCGACCTCTTCGCTAGTGTTGATTTGTGTCTCGGCTTTGTCCTTTATGCTTGCAATGAAGATGTCCTTTGTAGCCTGGTCCTTCAGCTTTTGAGTGTTGAACTTGGCTTGTGGTCTATCTGCAGCTCCTGATTCCCTGAAAGCTTTTAATTTGATTTGGATTGTCCCTTGTACGAGATAGTGGTCTGAGCCAACGTCTGCTCCTCTTCTTGCTTTTGTGTCCAGTAGGCTGCGCCTCCACTTCCTTGAGATTGAGATGAAGTCGATTTGGTTTTTGGTTTGCCCGTCTGGTGACACCCATGTAGCCTTGTGGATATCTTTGTGCTTGTATACACTGCCACCAATCACCAGTTCGTTGAAGGCGCAGAAGTCGGCGAAGAGTTCTCCGTTTTCATTCATTTCTCCGAGAGCTTCTCTACCCATGATGAGTTCCCTTCCTGTGTTGTCTGGTCCCAGTTTGGCGTTCATGTCTCCCATTAGTATTTTCATGTCGCCAGCTGGAGTATTGTCCATTGTTGCCTGTAGTTGTCTGTAGAATTCTTCTTTCTTTTCGAGGTCTGCGTTGTTTGTGGGTGCATAACATTGTATGATTGACACTTTCCTTCCTTTGGAGTTGAATCTGGCGGTCATTATCCTGGACGAAATCGCCTCCCATTGTATCAGGGCTTTCGTTGCCGTTGGTGACATCATGATAGCCACGCCCTCGGTGTGCGTGTGGTTATCTTCTGGGTGACCGGAGTAGATCACTGACTCACCCGTTGACAATTTGGTGAGTCCACTCCCATTCCATCTGCTTTCACATATTCCCAGCACTTGTATTCCGTATCTTTTCATCTCGTTTGCGATCTGGGCAGCTTTTCCAGTCTCGTACATAGTGCGTACGTTCCATGTCCCCACACAGACTTCTTTTTTTTGGTGCAAAGAGGTTCATCGTGCTGAAGTTTCTGTAGCAATTTTTTTGTTTACAGGGCGGGGTTGCTAGCCTCACGCCTGAGGACATTAAGCCTACCGTGGTAAATTTTGTTTTGATACCAACCAGGATAGATGTACTATTACCTCTGTTATTTGGTTCAGTGGTCTTCAATGTTATTATTTCGACCTTCAATATGTCCTCCTCTTAACTTGACGTAACTTGTCTATTTTCTCACCAACCTCTTAACTCTTTATTAGTTTCATATGTGTTCATTCCTATGACAAGTCCGTGTGTGATGGATCAGACTGTTCGAAATGTGTGTTGCACAAATACACAATACACGATTCAGACAAATTACGTCTTCTTATTGCTTTATCTAAATTGAATTCTGTCTTGTCAAATTTCACACCATGTTATGTAGTGCTTTATATTCGCCTATTAATCTTATAATTATGCACCCCATCCCACCAATATCTATACATCTTATGTATTATTCTATATATGACATTAATTGTTTTGCTAATTGACATTTAACTATAATTATAAACGCCAATATTTTAATTGCATTTCATACTATTATTATTTCATGTATTCACATCTTTAACCTAATTCCCTCACCGGATATAATACCTAAGAAAACTAACTTTGTCAAATATGCAGATGATCTGACTGTATCACTGCCTATCACTTCCGAGTCTGACTGCTCCAAACTTAATAGCTTTCTGTTGGACATCAGCAAGTGGCCTAAGTCAAATGGTCTTATGTTAAATCCTTCCAAATGTCAGGCAGTTGACTTTACTTTCAAGCATCGACGTGACATACATGAACTAGTTAGTTCCCATGATGCCTGTAACATAGAAGGCACTGAAATTGAAACCAAGTCAAGCATTAAATACCTTGGATTTGTTCTTCCCTCTGACCTTTCATGGTCATCCCACATCTTATCACTCTCCAAGAAAATGTTTTGTCTTAGCTTCCACATTAAAAAGTTAAGACAATCAGGTATCAACCAACCTTTAGTTTTGCAATTTCTAAACTCCTGTATTTTACCTATTTTACCCTACTGCTTTCCATTAATCTTTCCTGGGCTTCTCAAAAATGACTATATCATATTACGAAGAGTATTAAATGCTGTGAGTAGAGCTTGTGGTCTGCCACTGCATGAGCTCGCTAATACTATAGTCGAGGGGCATATAAATTCCTGTACAAAATGGGCAAAGGCTATACTGTCAGACCCTCTGCACCCCTTTATTCACAACTGTCCCCTTGTATCTCATCAGGTAGGACGAGAAGTCAATAAAAAAAATTATATGCTCGTACCACTAAGTACAGAAATTCTACAATACCCTATTTAGCCCGTACTTTATGTGATGAAGACTCTGTTACATGTGAAACACATAAGTTACGATGTAATTAGCAAAGTGAATCGACCCTTTCATCGTTCGTTCATCTTTCTGTATTTTATGGTGTCACCCTTTCTATTGTTTAATGATAACTTAGCTATTTTATTTTAGCTATTATTACTAGAATTTTATGCTTCATGCATATTTTTCTCTGTATTGCATACAGTATTTTGCTATGTAGCTGCTATAACAATCGTTTTGTTATTATTATTATGTAATGTGTATTTTAAATTTTTTGTTGTCGTTTTTGAGTAAATTAGATGCAATATTGTATTGAATGCTGAAAATTCCTTGCTGTATCATTAGTACTGCTTTTGGAATAAAGCAAATTATCATTATCACATATATACGATTGTACAACTTGATAGTAAATTCGTTGAAAAGAGTCTGTTCGCTGAATATTGTGTTCTTAACTTTTAATGAGACAAAACAGAGTTACAAACAGACATTATTTATCCCTTGGTTAAGCATGCCAGCTAATTCTCAGAAATTCCTATGATGAACACGCGCCTAATTGTAACCCAAATGTAATTAGCTCCATAGGAGCAGTAAAACTGATAACACTAGCTCAGTGTGTCCAATGATGTTCAATGTTCAATACGCTACAGCATGTGTTCAACATGTTTGTTTTAATAAATCAACTTTCTGAAATTTTAATTTTATTCTCGTTTTTTTTTAAATATGCCCACTTTTTTAGGTGAATTATCGATTTTGTAAATGGTCTGATATCCTGGATAATGAAAAGACAATCCTCAAAGATGCTATAACCAATGATCAATCAATAGAATTGATTTATTTACCATATAACAGTTGTCGTATTATTTCAGATAAACAGTTAACTAACCCACAGACCACCACCACCGCCATTAACGAAGGTGCTGCAAATATCAACGATAATGACGTTCTACCCGACGAAGACGATGAGAATGTACAATTAGATTTGAAAACATGGAATAATGAACAAGATGAAGTACTCATACGTACAACTCAACGTTTATCATCACACATCAGTAATAGTAAGCCAGGAGATCCTATTACACCAGCAACTGCTGATGATAACAAAGAAAATACTGATCCAATGTTGATATATGAATCTGAACCGAAAGAATTTGTCTACCTGTTGGATCAGGTGTTTGGACCACTTGTCAGTGAATTTATTGAACAACCAAATAATACACCGAAGTTGTTGAAAAGAGCTCATAAATATTTAAAATATAAATATTGTCCAAAACCAACAGTGATTCAGTATACACCATGGGCATTGAATTCATTTGGAAAATTTAAAGATCCTTTTCGAATATTAAAATTTACTATGGAAACAGATTATGATTTGAATCGATTTATACTGGTGAGTAAAACATTTGCTTTGAATTTAAATTAATTTTATTCACAGGTATTGGTTTTGTAAGGATTTTTGTTTGATTGTTTGGAGGGTTTCATCATGAAGTGACACCGGTTAGAGAACCATTGGAAAACCATCACCGGGGAGTACTGGACAGTTGTTTCTGTGGCCCGAGTTTGTGACTCTTTATCAGTAGGCATCCACCGCCAGGTTTCAAACCCAGAATCTTCCGGTTATAAGGCAAGCTGGTAGACCATTAAGCAACTGGGACCCGATGAAACCCTCCAACCAATCAAACAAAAGTGATCCCTACAAAACCAATACTTGAAAACTGATCCGATGCTCATCAGCGATTGGCCACATTCAGGCATTTAACCTATGGTTCTAGTGAGAAGCCGTTACCAGTAGGGTACAGCAAGTTCAAGGTGAGGTAGTGACTTATTGAAGAGGACATTGCAAGTTGGTTGCGTTATGCCGTGAATTGGTAGAAGTTAGAATTCTTGCATCGTATCCCAGTGGCTCAACTTTATTCCTTCGCATTCCGAGGGGAACATAGAACTTCAAGTTGTGAGTTCTAAAGCTGTAGGAGCCGTGTGTTTATTTTTACTTTTTATGGCATGAAGTTACTAGCCTTGGGCTTAGTCTTCCCTCTTTGCTGGGCTGGTTTAGAAGGGCATCTGTTAGCCAGAGATTGAACATCGGACCACGTAGGTGGTTGACGAGTATTCTACGTTTGACTTAACTAATAATAATAATAATAATAACAGCTTTATTCCAAACAGTATTTGTGGTACAGGTATGGAATTTTCAGCGTGCATTACAGTGTATTGCATCTAATTACCTCATAAATTATATAAGATTTTTAAAAATCAAAAATACATAAAAATAAAATAAATAAGTTATAAATAAATAAAATAAATAAATATTGAAAATTAAGAAAAAAAACAGCGTAGAGTATTGCATTTCAAACAATGCACCACAGGATTTGGAATATAAGGTTAATGTGTGGTTGTAGATGAGAACAACAGTGTAGTAGTAACGAGGAAAGGAAAACAAAAACTAATGGGACTATTTGTTAGAGTGCCGCAGTAAGTTTATCGTGTCATACCTAACGGATTTCTCATCACATAACAGCTGTGCCAGATATGGTATTGTGGAGTTTTTGTATTTGGTAGTCCTAGCATATAGCCTCCTATAGCTGCTTCTAGTTCTTCCAGATGAAATGCAAGGAGATAGATGCGTATAGAGAGGATGCTCGGGGTCCGACAATATTGTATTCGCTAGTTTCTTACATGACATTATATGTCTATCTACAATAGTGTTCACCAGTTGGTCTAACGATATCCCACTTGCCCTACTAACAGCTTTTAGTGCCCTTCTCAGCGAAGCGAAGTCTTTCTTAAGTAGTCCAGGAAAGACTAATGGGGAGCAGTAAAGGAGGATGGGTAGAATACAAGAATTTACAAATTGAGAAAGCAAAAGCTGCTTTATGCCAGACTGCCTAAATTTCCTAATGTAGAACGTTAAGCGAAACATCTTTCTAGTAACTAGCAAGATGTGGGAAGACCAGGAAAGATCGGTGGAAAAACTCAGCCCAAGGAACTTCACATTAGATGTATGTAATATCCTATTTGTCATTATCGTGAACCTGAATAGTTCAATGGTAACGTCTTTAACTGCAGCACACTGGGTGACGTGGGTTCGACTCTAAGAAGGGAAATGAGTTCCTTCAAGGTTGAGGATAAGCTTTGTTGTGTGTCGGTGGTTCAGATGTAGAAAGCTAGCTAACCACGCATGTAGTAAGGAGTTGGATCCTACGGACGGTGCTCTCCTAGATCTCGATAATTTGGTGGTAAGGTCGATTAAGACGAAAAGTGGAACGTGAGGTTAACGACCCTACCAATTAAAAATAAAACCACTGTAACTGAGACTTCAGACTTATAACTTGAAGCCGTATGTCCTAATAGAAACGTAAAGAAATAAAACAGGAATTATAATAATAAAGAAAATAATAATGATCATTATATTGTATATATGTAAGGCTTCGTTAGTTGGAACTCATTTACTCGGGACTGATGTTTATGTATTACGCTATGGGCCGTACTTATTGTGTGTGTGCGTGTGTGTGTGAGAATTGATGATACTACCGAGATGCTGACGTTGAATCCAGCGGAACTAAGATTCGAACTCAGGGCTCACTGGTTGAAAGGCAACAAATTAACCTTATGAGCCTTACATCCATATCTGAAAAGAATGTTTCAGTTGATTTGAAATATGTAATTATCAATTCACTATATCTGTAAGACTTGAACACTGCGGTAATTATGTAATTCTTCAATATTAGTTTTTTTTTAGATGTATCACACAGTGAGTGAAACAGTATTATTTACTGGATGACAACGTTTCGAACAAAATTTATGGCGGTTCATAATCATATCATCAATTATAATCATAGGACTTCGAAACTTGAGTTTTATAGTTTTGTTTATTCTCTCCTATTTGTCGTCGTTGGGGTAGTAGAATTTTCCAGATATCTGGGTGGACAGGTTTAGAGTCATTCCTATTACACATATTCCCTCCCAGTTGACTCGATAAACAAAGCTTCCTCTGTTATCAATCTTGCTCCCTCCACCCTGTAACATTAGATTTGAAAACTGTCATCCTATCCCATCCAGCCTATTGTGTGGTTGCGTGTAATTGCATGAAGTGAGTGGTATAGCTGAACTATTCTCTAGATTTCTTATCTTATTCAGGTCAATTATTCTTCATTATCTACATTTAAATTATCGAATCTGTATGTTTTAGTTCATAAGAATTTGTGAGTCTAAATTTTGAGTGGCTTTTAAGGGGATTTAATACCATGGCTAAATATTTAGATAATTCATAAGTCGGTGAATTTCTAAAATCAACTATAGGCCTAATAGGGTATCCTGTCTTATGAACTTTAACAACACCATACATCCTACTAGGGTTATTAGTTTTGGGCATTAAATTAAAACAATTTAGACTCACCTAGAAACGGCTTCATTCGGCATGGATTACTTAACTTTATTCATAACTGTGTCTATTGATTTATTAATTTCCTCATATGGTCCTGTTTGTATGTGAGTATTCACCTTGTCCAAATAGTCTGATGTGTGAAATACTACTGTTGCATTTCTTCTCTCTGACTTTGTGATAACTATATCCTTGTTATCCTTAAGGCGTTTCAGGGGTTCTATCTTTGGTTTTGTCAGGAATTACTTACTGCCATAGTGCTCAAGTTTTACAGACATATTAATATGTAATTCTATTTTAATTTTCTTATCGGACGTACGTTATGTAAGGAGACAGTATTATTTACTAGGTGACAAGGTTTTGAAAACTGTTCATAATAATATCGCCAGGTGTAAGTAAAGAACACTGAAACTTCATTTTGATAGTTCTCATTCTCCCCGTCCATTTATCGTCGGGGTAGTGGAATTATCCGAATATTCTGTTGGAGAGGCGCTGAATTATCCCATATTTCATGAATTCTCATTTGATTCGACAAATAAAGCCTCCAATATCAATCTCTCCTTCCACCCTGTTATGTCAGTCAGATTTTAAAACTTTCGTCTTATCTTATCCTATCGTGTAGTTGTGTGTAACTATATGTCGTACTATACCTGAGCTATTTTCTAGATATCTTTTCTTATTAGAGTCAAATAATCTAGATTTTTCTAGATTTTAATGTTCCGGTAATTTGACTGACCCCATTTTCAATATTGGTTTTTGTTTTGGGAATTTGCTTGATTGGTTGAAAGATTTCACCATGAGCTGATATCGTTTAGTCCTAGTGGCTTAATGGCCCATGAGCTGGCTCGCCTTGTAACCAGAAGGTCCTGGGTTCAAACCCCTTTGTGTTGGGTGCGTACTGATGAAGAGTCCCAAACTAGGACGAAACAGCTGTCCAGTACTCACAGGTTTTCCAATGGTATTAGATAAGTTAAAGTATTTTGCTGAATGAGCTTCACGGAATCCTTTAGTCGAAGTAAGTTTGTGGCTGACCGAATGCGACTTTTACGCCTGTTTTGTTAAGAGTTCTAAATAAAGTGACTTTAGGGGTTTCTTCTTTGTATGAAAGTACTACTGATGTTTTCAATTCCCTGCTGTTGGCTTTGCCATTTTTCTATTTATTTCCGTGATTCGTATCGTCCTTTTGAGATTATTATTTTTTATTTTATTTTTACAATTTTCTGTATACTTTCTGAGTGATTTGTCCAGGTAATTGTCAAATGTCCGGTGATGATACCATCAAGCTGCTAAGGTTGAATCCGATGGACCTGAGATTCGAACCTGGTACTCAATTATTGAAAGACAATGAAATAACCTGATGAGCCACACATCCATACCTGAAAAAGGTTTCAGTTGATCTTAAAAGCTTAATAAAAAATTCAGTATATCTGTAAAACTTGAGCTCTGTGGTAATATGTGATTCTATATTAATCGCCTTATTAAACGTACATTCTATAGTGAATAAGTATTATGTATTACTGGATAGCAGGGTATCAAAAACAATTTATTAGTATTATTCATAATGACGTCCTCAACTGTAAGCTTCTAAACGTTGCTCTTATTGTTCTCTTCCTTACTTCCTTTTCCATCTTTGAGGTAGGAGAACTGCCAGGATCTTGGTGAATAGACGTTGAATTATTCCCTATTGCATGTCTTCTCGGTTGATTTTTTTTTATTACAGCTTGATTCCACGCCATATTTTGGTACAGGTATGGAATTTTCAGAATGTGATATCGGTAGCCCAAATTCTGCAGACTGACCACTGATATCGGGTGTGCGTCAGTAGGGGATGGAACCTCGGACCATATGCATGGTCGGCGAGAGTTCTAACCACTGTGCCATAGATGCACACAATATTATTACGCCACATTGTGGCACTAAAAATTTAATCAGAGCTAATCAGTGTCATCAAGTTGATTTAATAAACAAAGCTTCTATAATTGGTCTCTCCCTTCCACCCTCATAATGAT